TGATGTTGCTAGAGAAACAGCCAAGTCCATAATATCTGACAATGCTTTTAAAAGATTTAGCTTCAGCTATGTCATGATATCTCCAAAGGAACTCCGTAACTCAGATAAGACTTGGCATGGCTTGAGCTGATGCTAAAAAATGCTGTACAGCTTGTTCTGTGGCGAGTAGCCCACTAACAGATAGTTTCCTGGAACTACATTAAGCAGAATAGTGTAGACAGACAATATAGTAGGAAAAGCAGACGGAGTCCATTTTCCTCTTCTGCTTGCTCAGAGTGCTGTCAGTGAAAGAGATGGAAACAAGACAACAACTTTAATTTGTCAGCTAGATTGGTTCAATTACCGAGTACATCTGCTGCCTGTTAGATGCAAAGAAATGCCTTGATCCACAAAGGGTTCCTGCAGTTAGCAGTGTAAAGAGCCCTACACTTTAGAATAAAAATTGTTATAGGTCCAACAGTTTTTATTCATGATCAGATATTCGGGAGATGGCAAGGGGGACAAAAGTATAAGTAAACCAGAAAGAATGATTCAAGATGCCTGTCTCATCACTGATCCACACGTAACGGAGCTATGGATGCAAGATGTACAGACTGTCACTCTTCTCTTGGACCTACTCTATCAATACTACTGTCATTCATGAGGCTAGGGCATTTTAACATATCGTTGGTTGATGAGGTGAAATTATTTTTAGAAGTCACTGAAGGGATACAATTATTTCTCACTGGTTACCCAGCTCTAGTCCTGATCCTATGTCTCAGCATGGTGTTAGTAGGCACTGCAAAAAGTGTCATTTTTTGGATGAGAAGTAAAAGTGAAATCCTGATTCCCGATTACTTGTGTTCATCCAGGATCTCATGATCCATTTTAAAACAGTAAGTATGCTAACTCCAGGGTTCTGGCAAAATTCCAACTCTGATAATTGCATTATGGTGTTTTAAAATTCCCTCTGCAGTTTCAGACAACCATGTTCTCTTCTTTACTTCATGCCCAAAAATATGTGTGTGGCATTGTATGGTGTTCAACAGCTGCAACATTTCCTTCCAGGGAGGATGCAATCCAGTGATGGTTGAGAGAACCCACCCATATTGTTTGTACATCAGTTTATTAAGACCTAAGTGCCTCCTGGATGAAAAGTACTACAGAACTATTTTTATTGAGCTGGGAGAGAATTCTTAATGCAAAAAGTACTATTTCTATGTAACATGGTTAAGTGAAAACAAACTGGAGATACAATGACCGTGTACAACAACGTTTCTTAAACTTTTTAAGACCAAAGAACAAACAATTTCTTTTTTGAGGAACACCAAGGATTTTTTGTTGGGGGGGTGGGGAAGTCAGGGGAAAAAGGGTTGGGAGGGAAAGTTACTGAGGAAAAAAAGTCACCTGCCCCTTTAAGGGTGGCCATTTTGAATTCTGTTCTCCATGGCACACCAGTGACGGGTTGGGGGGAAAGTTATCGAGGAAAAAATGGTCACTTACCCCTTTAAGGGTGGCCATTCTGAATTCTGTTCTCCGCGGCACACCTCGAACTGCCTCGTGGCACACTGGTGTGCCACGGAACACAGTTTAAGAAACACTGGTGTTCCAGCTGCTAAGGAATGTAGACACTGAAGGAAAAGAATTGTTTGGAGTGCAAGGGCGGAATTTCAGGAAGGTAGAGGGGGCAGCAGCCATGCGCTCCAGAATGCGGCTTCCTTTTCATCCCATTGCCAGGTTTAGTCCACATCTACACCAGCAGGCAGTTATTTCAAAATAACATCAAAATACTGTCAAAGCTGGAGGATTTCTTACTCCCGACTCCTGTAACCCTCATTGGATCAGGAGTAAGGGAAGTCAGAGGAAGAGTGTTCTGTTTTGAAGTGCTGTGTAAATGCTCCCAATTTCGAAATAAGCTATGCAATTGACGTAGCTCAATTTGCGTAGCTTATTTCGAGTTAAGCCCTGCTGTGTAGACACACTGTAATGGAGTGAGGGAAAAGTACTTGCAGTCTGTGCATGCCTCTCACACTTGGCTGGTGAGCTCCCTTCACCAGACAGGTGTGAGGTGTGCACAGAATGCAAGTACTTTCCCCTCACTCCCTCAGGGGGATGGGATGAAAAGCAAGCCATGTCCCTGAGCATGAGGCTGCTGGCCCCACTACCATCCTGAAATTCCACCATTGTTGGAGTGGTCCACGAAGGAGTACTGGTATAAAACTAAGCAAAACAAAACATAAGGCGAATGTTATCAGCAAAAACTTCTTAAATCAGGTCTGTGGAATATTCTCCTAAAGGAAACCTAATTGTTCCAATAATATAGCAAGCAAAAAGGACAATTTGAGAATTTTTTGTATGGAAGACTTCTGTATTGATTGGACTGAGAGGATGAATTGGACCAAGTTATTGAATAAGGGGTTCCCCCCCCCCCCGGCTTTTCCGGCTTTTATGACACTAGTAAGGGCAAAGTAAAAAATACCACAAATTGTTCCACTGATTTTCGTGGAACAGAAATTGGTCAGAAAATGGCATTGCTAAGAAGCAGCCATAGTAGAACTCAGTGATATGGAACAGTTTTGTATCCATGTTCACCAACCAGAACCAGAGAAGAGGGGAGTAGAAATGGAAAAGGTTCTCTTCCCCACTAGCTAGCCTCAAGCATAGGGCCTGACAATAAGGTGCTATATACCACCAAAGGCAATAACAATATAAGAATATTCTTATGTGCTTTCCTTTTTCATTTGCATTCCATTTCCAGTGAAGTGTCGTTTCAATATACTTGCTATATGCCCTATTGGTGACGATATCTTGCCCTTTCAGGGGGATGGATTTGGTGATCTAATAAGTCTTTTCCATCTGTGACTACTATGGCCCTACATCTATGGTGGCAGGACATAAACTCCATTTCAAAATAAAGGTTACAGTACAATTAGTATTTACCTAGTTCTTTCATTATTTAAAAGCTCCCTCTTATGGCAACTTGTGTTTCTCTCTCCGCCCCTCCCCCCACAGAGTAAAGCAAATCTTCCGTTTTGGGAGAATGGTACAGGGAAAAAGGAGGCCTGGCAGAATGGGTGGCATGGATATGACAATGAGCTTATGAACATGAGGGGATTCTTCCTCGCGTATGGACCAGGTAGGCCAAATGAATTATCAGATAATTATCACAGAACACTCACTCCACCCCAGATCTACAATAGCTTCACAGAAAAGGCAGACCTACAGCACCATTGTGGGTGAAGATTGATGTAGATATTAATTCTGGACATGGAGCCTTTCCATCACAGCCTATGTGAAAGTAAAGCAAGCTTGCTCTGCTTTCAGCCTTTAAATCTTATGTGAAACTGAGGGAGAACCAAACTATATTTACTTAGCCATTCTTACATCACACACTTTTGCTGCCTGATGTAAGTGTGCAGGAACCTATCACTAAGATCCACCAAGACTCAGATCAGCACCAAGTACTCCTTCCTGTTAATGTACTCCAATGCTCACACATGGGCACATCAATCGTTCCTCTATTGTTTGGGATCCTCAATTGTTCAAATCCTTCAGAGGACTTTGGCATATTGACCACTTCTATCCCATGCACTGGCAACAAATAATGAACTGCTATTGTGACAAATCTCCTAATTTTCACAGTGGGTCCTGCGCTTCTGGGCAGCAGTAGGCTGAGTATTATCTCCCTTGTCTGGGGAAAAGGGCAACTCCTGGTTTCATTGCTTGCCTCCGTAGCTCACTACAGCTCTGTTTACTTCAGAGGCAAGCCGTAGTCTGATTTAACCACTCTTATCATTGGCATAGCATGGGGAAAAGCGAGAAGAAAAAACAATTATTCTCTGGTGGCCTATCTGGGTGTGGAGATAACAGATTAGATTTCTTACATCTGTTAGTCTCTCGCTCTTTAGCAGGGATTTATGTCCCTCAGACTTCTAGGGCCTGAAGGGGCTTGTTCCCCTCTTGCCCACCTGCCAGGCAGGACTCTCCCTTTCCCATGCCTCTGTAGTTGCAAAGTTTCCTACTGGTACCTGACAGCATTTCTATTGTTCCTGCTCTTCAGCAGCATGTCTTCTTCCCATCACTCAACTGACTAAAGGGGAGACTTTAAACAGTTCCAGCTGGTCTTTGATTGGCTCCATCTGTCCCAATCAAACCTGTCTTGGCTGTTTCTAGCAGGTTCTTGATTACATCCAGGTGCCTTAATTAACCAAGGGGAGACCTTGTTTGGTTACCAGGGAAACAGGAACTTGTTTAACCTGTGGTTAATATACCTGCTCTCTCTTACTTACTTGTAACCATCTGGCCTGACCCCATCACACGATGTACACTTCCATGATATGCACAGTACCATGGACATTCTAGCCAGCCAGTAATTATCTGGGACAAAGTGGAGTCTCAGGCTCTAATCTCTGTGTATTTGTATATTATGTTACTAGTACTACTACTATACAGAACTCTCAGGCTTTGATCTGCAGATGTGAATATACTCTAAGTGTATACTATTATTCCCATTTTACAGATGGGGAAACTAAGCACAGAGACATTAGGTAGTTTGCCACAGGCTAGTCTCCTAAATCCCAAAACAATTTCCAATCTATTGAACCTTGCTGTTCTCAGTTAGGCTTGAGCTTTTAATTCTATATGAAATACATGTATTCTTTTTTATTTTTGGCAAAGAGCTCAAAAAAGAATATCCCATTTGATAGCATCCACATGGTTATACATCTGTTACTTAGATAATTTCTGAGTCACAGACCCTTTAAATATTGATTAGTGCATGAGCTTCACAGATGAAGAAAAAAGTAGAATCAGAATCTGTCAGATGATCAATGCAAAGCAAAACTATCTGCTGAAAAGGCATCGGGGATGTTTAAATGCACAAACAGGTAAACATTTAAATAACTCTTGGTTTTAATAATTCCATTGTTTTTTCTTATTGCTCAATTACTAGTTAAAGATATTTGTCCTACTCACAAGACTTTCTCTGGAAGAACATAAGGTCAGATATTTGTCCTACTCACAAGACTTTCTTGGGAACATAAGGTTCCCATTCTTCTTAATTCCTTGTTTATCAGATGCTCCTGCAATTCAAGACCTGTGGCAAAAGGAATTAGACAATGTTAAATCCTCCCTGGCATTCAGAGACTAAAACATTTATTTGCATTTCTTTGTTTCAGATTTCAGATCTAACTACAGGGCACCTCCAATCAGATCAGTCGATGTTTACAACATCATGTGCAATATTACAGGAATACAGCCACTACCAAACAATGGATCCTGGTCCAGAGTGGAGTGTATGTTAAAAAATAATGCTAGTTTGGCACAATTATTCCAGTGGAGCAGCTGTGTGTTGGCATTTATTCTTCTTTTATTGTTTGCATAACAGATCTCAATACTCTGGCCCCAAAACAATGTTAACCAGTGTGCGCAGTAACGATTTTTTTGTTTGGAGTTCTTTATTTGAATAATGGCTTCATTAACAGAATACTGTCTAGGTAAACTGCACATATTCACCCAAATTTATCCCTTAAGTTACACAAGGGATGAATCCAAATTCTTCCCTTATGTTACACAAGAGATGAATCTGATCCATTATTTTATCACAGTGGTTATAACAAATATAAAGCACATATTGCTTTCATTTACACAGTTGTAAATATATACAGCAATGTCAATGAGACCAGAATGGAGCCCATTGTGTGAGCAAGCATGAGAGTTACTCTAGGAGACAGAGAATGAACTCCTCCCCCCCTCCCCACTGCTACATCCAAGGAGACTTTCGCCTCTGCATAGTTAGGGGCTGAAAACTGGATATGGCCCCCTCCCCACTGCTACATCCAAGGAGACATTCGCCTCTGCGTAGTTAGGGGCTGAAGACTGGATATGAGCCTTTGTAATTTTACCAATTGTTTTATTCTGGATTCTCTCTCTCTGCTACAAACTTGCTCCCTCCTCACAAAGCAGTACATGAGAGGTATTTGCTGGCCCATTTCTGTAAACAGAAGAAAAACTCTTTCCACTTAGCTACAATAAGAACAATCCTCAGAAACTAGGGATAGGAGCACCCAAGAGCTGTGGCATCCTTCCTTCCCCAGACATTGTCTTTCCTTTTCCCTCAAGAGCATCACTCCATCAGCTCGTGGAACCATAGAAACCTAGGGTTAGAGAGACCAGAAGGGTCATCTAGTCAAACCCATTGCCAAGATACAAGATTTGTTATTTGTTTCTCAGCCATCCAAGACAAAGGCCATTCCTGTACCACTCAAGTCACAAGAGTTTTGCCATGAACTTGAATGAATTTGAGCGCAAACGGAGAGTGAAAGTTCCACAGCAACGCGAAAAATGAACCCATAATTTGAGCGCAAACGGAGAGTGAAAGTTCCACAACGACGCGAAAAATGTACCCAGGTCATCCATGTGTCAGTTTATTAGAACAGCCCATTGGTGATTTTTAAATTTAACATACCACCTGCCAATACAGAAGATGCCATTTATTTCACAATTCTAAGGCCCACCAAATTTACTGCCCATAGTTTTACCTCAGAATCTAAGATTCATTTAAAAAAAAAAAAACCACCCACCCACCCACCACCCACCCACACCACATACACACCCAGAACATTTTAAGCCCTTAAGGTTGAGAAGAAAACCTTAAAAATGTGAATTAAGTGTCTGCTGATAACAGTAGCTCTGGAAGGTATGAATTGTCCTGTTCTTCTCTATGGACATTGATGTTGAAGCCAAAGGATGACAATTAAAATATAGGCCATTAGCTATTTGCTAATCATTTTAGCAGAAGTATCCAGCCTCCCCACAAGTTCTGAGATACCAATATGCACTGTTAGTGCAAAAATCTCCAGGGTATTGACAATTGAAAGCAGAGATGGCAGAAAATAAATTTGTGTTTCAGAATAAACAACAGAGGAACTATTGTGCTAATTGCGATCTACATTTTCATGCAGAATTAATTAAAAATCTCCCAGTTTCATCTAAATGAAAGGCCACCAAATTTCCTGCCTGATGCAGAATGCAGGGACATTTTTCCACAACTAAGGCACAGAGAATCTTATTCTGCACCCCTCATTAGGGTAGCTGAACACCTGTAAGATTAAAAGGTCTGGGCCTTCCAATTCCGTGGCACAATGTTTATACTAGTCAGTCAATCACATGCATTCAACGAAGACGACAGAAGAGAAAAACAGAAACAATAAATTCAAAATGCACAAGTGAAGAAATGAGATTTAACCATGCTACAGAGAGCCTTAGTCATAAATCAAAATATGCTAGACATGTATAGTTTGAAACAACTGACCTATGTGTTTTTCTGGATGACGTAGCAAAACCTAACGTGTTCTCAGTGGTCCTATACATCAGCAAAACTCTGGAGAATTTTCAGCATGCATTGATTTTTTTTTTCTGGATGACGTAGCAAAACCTAATGTGTTCTCAGTGGTCTTATACATTGGCAAAACTCTGGAGAATTTTCAGCATGTATTGATTTTTCCCCACCAACAGCATCAGTGAAGAGTATGTTTTTCAGTAACTCCCATTCAAGCAATGGAGCATGCAACATACATGGCTCTTGTCCTTTCATAAGGTGCTTTCAGCAGCAAAGGGACAAGTTTATAGTGGTGGACTTTCAAAAGATTTGTTATTCATTAGCCAGTGCTACAATAGTGAGAGGAGGAGCTCACAGGAGTTTTCCAAGTTTTATATTCAAAGCCATCTCTCACACAACAAAGGATGACAGGCTCACAGTGACCTCAGACCCAGTCCTAAATTGTATTGGTGAAGTTAGATAGGAATACACTCTTGTGATATCATGTGGACACTGGAACTGAAAGGGGTAAATCCCAGTTTTGGTAGGCATAGCTGATTGATCTAGCATGCCAAAAAAAAGCAATGTCTATACTAGCAGTGAAATGGATTAGATAAGCACATGCTAGGGTTCAGGATGAATTCAGAATTGATAGCTCATCCTGCTGCCCATGTAACTACATGTTTGCTACCTAGTTTCAGCATTCTAGGTTGATCAGAGACAGCACAGATATTTCAACCCCAACTAGAAATTGCTTCTTGAGCTCCAGTGCAGATATAGGTAATTAATCTCCATGGTTAAAGTCCCAAGATAAAGATAAATCTGAACTCAAACAGGGAGACAGAGATAGCAAATCCCAACTAAGAACTGATTTTAAATTGGTTTCACTAGCATTATATCGCTAGTCAGGTTCTAGTCAACATAAAATGGCAGATTAATTTTGTATAGTTAAAGTATTTTGCTGCTCTACTGCTTGATGTTAAAAAGGGGGATCTATATCTATGTTTCATAATGTTAATAATAAGAGATTTACACATCTTCATTTAATTTTGTTTTTAAAAAGGTTCAATTGTAAAAAACAAAAAAAACAAACAAACAAAAAAAAAAAAACTTAGGAGAGACATTTAGAGCTTGCTCATTCCAAAGACTCTGAATTCCCTTAGTAATATTCCTCATGATACTGAGGGAATAGAGGGCACTTGGCCATACCTCAAAGGAGGGGCTCAGCACATTGCAGGATTGAATTCCTGTGGAACAATTAGGTTTTTTTGGTTCATGAAGGAATCTCTCAAAACTAATGAGCACATACAGCACATTGCAGGATTGAATTCCTGTGGAACAATTAGGTTTTTTTGGTTCAGGAAGGACTCTCTCAAAACTAATGAGCACACCAACCCAGAGTAAAGCACATTTTGGGTTAGTTTGATAGAGTTAGTTTCAAGATAAACAATTATACCATGAAAAAAATCAAATTAAACTTGACAAAAGACTTCTGTAATTGCTGTAAAGATTTATGTAATGTTTTTAAAGCTCAAGTGAACTATCAAATCAATTGGAAAAAAAAAGAAAAATCACCCTTTGTTATCAGGCTGTTGAGTATAAAAGGCAATTTAGGGCTCTCTAAGCATTTACAGTGACGGTGAAACAAGCATCTATTGTTCAAAGTTCCCTGTTGCTCTTTAATGGACCCGGCTCAACGAATTCATTGGAGCACATTTTTTTTTAAATGAGAGAATTATCAGTATGAAAGAGAACCAAATGACTAAATTACAAAGTTTTGTTTGAAAACACACTAATCCCTTCACATTCTGGAGTCTCAAATCCCATAATAAAAAGGTTTCAGTGTTTCCTTGCAAGGGGAAAAAAAGAGCATAAGGCATAGGACCAGATTCTGATGTCAGTTACACAGGAGTAAATCAAGAATAATTATTAAATTGTGTTATTCCACATTTATATGAATAAATGAAATCAACATTGGCCCACTACTGCATCTGTGTTGTGGGTAACAGTTAGAAAAGCAAGTGTCCATATTAAAAAATGCTGAGTTTCTGCAAATATTGCATAGTAAATTTTCAAAATGTCTGAGTCTTATGTGCAACATCCTATTGTAAAACACTTCAAAATGTGTTCAATCTGTGAAAAGAAGATTCTATAATAGATTTATATAAAATTGGTTGTGTTCAATCTGTGAAAAGAAGATTCTATAATAACCAATTTTATATAAATCTATCTCCAAGAGAACTGAGAATCAGACACATTTAAGAAGTGCATCTTACTTTGTTGGTATTTTTGTACCACTATACTGAATCACGTTCTGGTTTAAAAAAAAAAAAAGTGGGTATTTTTTCTGTGGTCTCCTTATCTGTGTAACAGGTAACTGAGATGAATATGTTTTAAAAGCCATGAGTCTAAATGATTCTTTTAAACAGTGATTGATTGTGAATAAGTGAATAATTATAAGAACACTGCATGATTTCTGTAAGAACTGTTGGTTTGGGTTTTTTTTTTTTTTTGTAAATAATGTAAGATTAAAAAAATCCTAGAACACTTTGTATTTCCTGGTTGACTGTCACATTAAATGTAGTCATATTGGTCTACTTCTCATTTAGGATTCGTCTACACAGCAGAGTACATATGGGCTTCTTATTCTGACTTCCTGTAAACCTCATTGTACAAGGATTAATGCAGTCAGTGGAATAGCGCCTTATTTCAAAGTAAGTGCTGTGTCCACAACACCAAATTTCGAAATAAGCTATGCAATTTGCGTAGCTCAAATTGTGTAGCTTATTTCGAGGTATGCGCTACTGGGTAGACGTACCCTTTGAGAAATAGAGATACTACAGCATAAACAATGTTTGAAACTTATACTGATTAATCAGCGGGAGGAATGATAACATTGTTTTAAAATGATGAAGTCCTCAAAATATATATGAAATAAGATATTTAATAAAATGGCACAAAATAATGTTGGATAATTTTTCCAGGGGTATTATAATAAAGTTAAACTTTTGAATCTGTGTAGGTTTTTTCCTTCCAACTGCATGTACACATGGTACGGTTTTAAATAATGCAAGGTCCTCTGGTATTTCTACGTCAACTAGGGACATAGCTGTAAACACTCCTAATTAAGTTTGCAAGCTCCCTGGGAAGGGATGTCTTTTTGTTTTGTATTGTACTAAACCTTGCACATTGGGGTGTAACAGATTTTGAGCCTCCTCATGGCTCATCTGGGCATTTTCTCTCCTTCCAGAACTGAGTAATGTTCGTGACTTGGCCAATCACTATAGACTCCAAAAGGGATGGCCTGTCAGTCTCTTTGGACAAGGTACTCCTCTGCTGTTCCGGGAAGTCCTCCATGGTACATCCAAGGCTGTGTCACTTTCCCAGTGGCTGGTAGGAGAACTTGGGCTCATCCTCTACAGTGGAGTTCCAGCCCAAGGACCCTATATGCCACAACTGAGCTACTTATTCCCAGACCTACTTGCCACTTCTCTGGGCTCTCTTCTACTCCTCCTTTCTATCCTCTGGCACCTTTGGGTTTACCACCTGTCCAAACTTCCTCCACTTCTCAGGGCTACTACCCCCTCTGGCTTCTCAAACTCAGTAATGTCCAACATACTTCACTCCGGTCAAGGAGTGACTGCCGATTACTCCCTTGGCAACCTCCTTCTGATCTCAGTTTTTTAGCTTGATAACCTGACAGTTCCTGCCCAAGTTAGTACCATCCTTAACTAAGAGTTATTGACAGAGCTAACCCAACCATAGGATAGTTCAGGGCAGCCACTTCAGGCCTCATGCTTTTGGGGGGGCCCTGCAGTAGCTGTCCTATGGATGGGAGGGACTCAGGGGATTATGGAGGCCTGGCACAGAGTGGCAGCAGGGATCCCCCCTCACTGCAGTGGTGAGAGCCAGCACAGCCCAGCAACCTGCACCACACTACCCTCTCCTGGCCAGCTGCACTCTACTTCTCTGGGGCAGAGAGAAGTGGAGTGCCCCAATCCCAGGTTGCTCTGCTTCCTATTGCTGCAAAGAAGTGAGGCACAGAGGCTGGGATTGGGCAGCAAGGCAGAGTGGAGCAGGCTGCTGGGTTGCTCTGGCTCCTGCCACCACAGTTAGTGGGGGAGGGTGACCTCTGCTGCCGCCCTGCATCAGCGGGGGGAGGAGGGAGAGAAGAGGACAGAGCAGGGGCAGTACTAAGGGACAGGGGTGGAGCAGAGGCAAGGCCTGTGGCAGAGGGGTTGCTCTGGGCCCTGCGCATGTCTGGGGTACTGGAGAGGAGGGGCGCTGTCCCAGGAAAATTCTAGGGTTGCTCAGTTTTCTATCAGACAGTCGGGTATTTGCGCCCTCTGTCCAGTAGAAAAATTAACAGTTTTATGGATTTCTTGACAGGCCAGGATATTTTATTGATAACGACAAGCATACAGATAAAGTTTCCTCATTCAAGACTCAAAACAAAGATAAAGCTAAAACCAGTCCATAATTTATTTTTTCCCCATTAGTTATGAGTTTCTCTGATGGTTCAAGAAAAGAGAAGTAACTTGAACAAACAGCTCTATAAAAGGTACAAAGAGTTTGTAATTAGGAACCTCTCAGAACTTTATCCACTTTCCATTTTGTATATTAATGGCTGGGAATATCAAGAGGTTACAAAGAGTACACTCTCAAATTAGAGCCACAAGAGAACACACATTAGAAAGATACATACAAATTATAAATCAATAACCATAACATCTTAAAGAAAAATGAAAGTGATTAATTTGACTGGTTTTCAAGACAAAAGTGAAATAAGCATTGACTTTCTAGCAAGATATGTTAAACTAGTGTTTTCTGTGAGACGGAGAGAAAATTAAGTACATGATATAAAATACAATGAATACTATTTTCACATCAAATAGATGTGTAGTCAGGTTGGCAGCAATGCTAGAGTTTCTTTTCTGCCTTCCAGGTTTGTGAAACTTTCATAGGTTTCTATTTGAAATGCAAGCAGTGACTTTGTTTTACTCCCCTCTCCCCCATTAAATGGTCCATTTCCACTCAGAAGCTATTTAAAAAGTCCCCATATAAAAAAGTTTCAGTGGAGTAGCCATGTTAGTCTGTAACTGGAAAAACACATAGGATGGGTCTAGACTGCAGGGTTTTCGGAAAAACTGAAATTTTTCTGAAAAGCCTTCACTTATGTCCACACTGCTATTGCATTCTTTCAAAAGAAAATTGAAATAACACAAGGGTTTTTCTGACGTTGGAAAACCTCATTCTATGAGGAAGAACGCCTTTTCTGATAGAGCTTTCGGAAAAAGACGTGTGTGGATGTGGAAGAGGGAGTTTTTTCAAAAGAAGAAGAAAAAGCATAGGTGTCCTGGTGACCACTTCATCCATAGTAATCACAGCTTAAATGTGAGATAGCATCCACACTGTTATCTTGAAAAAGCAGATTGCCAAAGCGCATTGAAAAAGCAATGTGGACGCTCTCTTTTGTAAGAAGTTTTTTCGGAAGATCTCTTCTGGAAAAGTTTCTTCCAAAAGAAGCCTGCAATCTAGAACAGTGTTTCTCAAACTGTGCTCCGCGGATCCCCAGGGACTCCATGAGACATCTCCAGGGGCTTGGCGAGGTTGACAAACTGGAAACATCGATAGGTACAACACATACAATCAGTGGACCACTGAGGCTCTGCATAAATTTTTACGCATGTACAGGGTTCCAGAGCCCAAGAAGTTTGAGAACTGCTGGTGTAGATGTACCCACAGTCTTCTTGCAGCACCTTAGAGATTAACAAAAACTGTAGATGGTATCATGAGCTTTCGTGGGCAAAAATCTTCCATGTTGTATTAGTGAATTCTATGGATCTAATGTGTCTTCTTGCCTTTTCTTTCTCTCTCTCTTTTTAAGCTCAGTGTGCTAGTGAAGGATGTCAGCTTGACAGCTTTGGAAATTGAAGTCCTGTAATGACAACTTCAGGAGCACTAACATTGTAAGCTACCCCACATTGCTCTGACAACGTGCCTAAGACCAGGGCTGGAGGGAGTGATGGTTCCGTTTCCATTTCCATCCTACCATTGCCCTCTGGCTAAACATGACAATGCCAAATAGTGGCAATTTTGTCATGTGCTATTGGTGATGCAGTCACCTGGCCTGAGCAAACTAGACTGAGACCACCAGCTCATTTCTCACAGTCCACTGCACTGACATCAGCTGGTAACAGCTACTCCTGCCAGAGGATAGATGTGAACTGGTGATTTAGAATACTTTACCAATCCTACTCCCTCATCCCTTATTTTTTTTGTACAGAGCAGGGTTTTGAATTTATTTTAATTTTTGCCTAATAAGATGGAGAACAACAAGGCAGTTCAGATGCAGATTTAAAAAAAAAAATTGAGGAGTCACATTGTATTGGCTGAGGACAAAGGCAAAGGAGAGAGACCTCTGTATTTAATGATGGACACAGTGTCCCATTATTATCTGTCTCAGAGCTCCCTCTTCTGGCTTCACATAGGGTTGGTTGACTTTGTACTTCAATCTAAACCCAACAGCACATTAAGAATTTGCTAGGAAATAGAAAAGAAACATTAGCACCTTTACTGAAAATGAAAGGTAACAGAAATCATGGCAGAATGCAACAGTCTGACACCTACTCAAGCAGACAACGCTGGAGGTATTTATAAATTGCCTTCCAAAATGTGTTGGTGACTTGTAGGAGCATGTGGAGGAACAGAAAAAGGA